ATCAAATTTGAGATATAGCATTTTATTATTCTACAATTTGTGTAAAATTTATGAAAATCGAACTACATATATATAGCTCCATAGGAACGATCGAGAAATTAATACAATTAAAAATTATAACTTTCCAGTTTTCAACAGATTTCATCAAATTTGAGATAACCGTTTCATATTATTCTACAATTTTGTGTAAATTTAGAAATCGGACTACCATATAATACAGCTGCCATAGAACGATCAGAAATTAATACAATTAAAAATTATAACTTTCCAGTTTTCAACAGATTTTATCAATTTGAGATATAGTCTTTATAATATTCTACAATTTTGTGTAAAATTTATGAAAATCGGACTACTATATCATATAGCTCCCATAGGAACGATCGAGAAATAATACAATTAAAAATTATAACTTTTCCAGTTTCACAGATTTCATCAAATTTGAGATATAGCATTTATATTATTCACAATTTGTGTAAATTTTATGAAAATCGGACTACTATATCATATAGCTCCCATAGGAACGATCGAGAAATTATACAATTAAAAATATAACTTTCCAGTTTTCAACAGATTTATAAATTTGAGATATAGCGTTTTATATTATACAATTTTGTGTAAATTTTATGAAAATCGGACTACTATATCATATAGCTCCATAGGAACGATCGAGAAATTAATACAATTAAAAATTATAACTTTTCCAGTTTTCAACAGATTTCATCAAATTTGAGATATAGCCATTTCATATTATTCTACAATTTGTGTAAAATTTATGAAATCGGAACTACTATATCATACAGCTCCATAGAACGATCGAGAAATTAATACAATAAAAATTATAACTTTCCAGTTTTCAACAGATTTATCAATTTGAGATATAGCCTATTTATATATTCTACAATTTGTGTAAATTTATGAAAATCGGACTACTATATCATATAGCTCCCATAGGAACGATCGAGAAATTAATACAATAAAATTAAACTTCCGTTTCAACAGATTTTTCAAATTTGAGATAGCCTTTTATATTATCTAAATTTGTGTAAAATTTTACGAAAATCGAACTACCATATATACAGCTTCCATAGGAACGATCAGAAATTAATCAATTAAAAATTATAACTTTTCCAGTTTTCAACAGATTTTCATCAATTTGAGATATAGCCTTTCATATTATTCTACAATTTTGTGTAAATTTATGAAATCGGACTCATATAATAAGCTGCCATAGAACGATCAGAAATTAATACAATTAAAATTATAACTTTCCAGTTTTCAACAGATTTTATCAAATTTGAGATATAGCGTTTATATTATTCTACAATTTTGTGTAAAATTTTATGAAAATCGGACTCTATATCATATAGCTCCATAGGAACGATCGAGAAATTAATACAATTAAAATTATAACTTTTCCAGTTTTCAACAGATTTTCATCAAATTTGAGATATAGCCTTTCATATTATTCTACAATTTTGTGTAAAATTTTACGAAAATCGAACTACATATAATACAGCTCCATAGAACGATCAAGAAATTAATAAATTAAAATTATAACTTTTCCAGTTTTCAACAGATTTTATCAATTTGAGATATAGCTTTTATATTATTCTACAATTTTTGTAAATTTTATGAAAATCGGACTACTATATCATATAGCTCCCATAGGAACGATCGAGAAATTAATACAATTAAAATTATAACTTTTCCAGTTTTCAACAGATTTTCATCAAATTTGAGATATAGCTTTTATATTATTCTACAATTTGTGTAAATTTATGAAATCGGAACTATCATATAGCTCCATAGAACGATCGAGAAATTAATACAATTAAAAATTATAACTTTTCCAGTTTTCAACAGATTTTATAATTTGAGATATAGCTTTTATATTATTCTACAATTTGTGTAAAATTTATGAAAATCGGACTCTATATCATATAGCTCCATAGGAACGATCGAGAAATTAATACAATTAAAAATTATAACTTTTCAGTTTTCAACAGATTTTTATCAAATTTGAGATATAGCATTTATATTATTCTACAATTTTGTAAAATTTATGAAAATCGGACTACTATATCATATAGCTCCATAGAAGGATCGAAAATTAATACAATTAAAAATTATAACTTTTCCAGTTTTCAACAGATTTTCATCAATTTGAGATATAGTTTCATTATTTATTTGTGTAAATTTATGAAATCGAACTACTATTATATAGCTCCATAGGAAGATCGAAATTAATACAATTAAAATTATAACTTTTCCAGTTTCAACAGATTTTATCAAATTTGAGATATAGCTAATTTATTTATTCTACAATTTGTGTAAAATTCTATGAAAATCGGACTACTATATCATATAGCTCCATAGGACGATCGAGAAATTAATACAATTAAAATTATAACTTTTCCAGTTTTCAACAGATTTTTAAATTTGAGATATAGCGTTTTATATTATTCTACAATTTTTGTAAAATTTTATGAAAATCGGACTTCTATATCATATAGCTTCCATAGGAAGATCGAGAAATTATACAATTAAAATTATAACTTTTCAGTTTTCAACAGATTTTCATCAAATTTGAGATATAGCTATTCATATTATTCTACAATTTTGTGTTAATTTTACGAACTCGAACTACATATTATCAGCTGCTAGAAAGATCAAGAAATTATACAATTAAAAATTATTACTTTTCCAGTTTTCAACAGATTTTCATCAAATTTGAGATATAGCAGTACTATATCCTATTGCTCTCATAGGAACGAGCGAGAAATTAATACAATTAAAAATTATAACTTTTTCAGTTTTCAACAGAATTTGATGAAATTTGAGTTATTACAGTTTTATGTTTCTTTACAAATTGTAAAGAAATTTTATTATTCTACAATTTGTGTAAAATTCTATGATAATCGGACTACTATATCATATAGCTCCATAGGACGATCGAGAAAGTAACACAATTGAAAATTATAACTTTCCAGTTTTCAACAGATTGTTTTAAATTGATATAGCGGTTTTATATTATTCTACAATTTTTGTAAATTTATATAAATCGGACTTCTATATCATATAGCTCCATAGGAAGGATCGAGAAATTAATACAATTAAAAATTACAACTTTTCCAGTTTTCAACAGATTTTCATCAAATTTGAGATATAGCCTATTCATATTATTCTACAATTTTGTGTTAAATTTTACGAAACTCGAACTACCATATAATACAGCTGCCATAGAAACGATCAAGAAATTAATACAATTAAAATTATTACTTTTCCAGTTTTCAACAGATTTTATCAAATTTGAGTTATAGCAGTACTATATCCTATTGCTCCCATAGGAACGAGCGAGAAATTAATACAATTAAAAATTATAACTTTTTCAGTTTTCAACAGAATTTGATGAATTTGAGTTATTATAGTTTTATGTTTCTTTACAAATTTGTGTAAATTTTACGAAGTCGAACTACCATTTAATACAGTGCCATAGAAACGATCAAGAAATTAATACAATTAAAATTATTACTTTCTAGTTTTCAACAGATTTTATCAAATTTGAGATATAGCTAATTTATATTATTCTACAATTGTGTAAAATTCTATTTAAATCGGACTACTATATCATATCGCTCCCATAGGACCGATCGAGAAAGTAACACAATGAAAATTATAACTTTTCCAGTTTTCAACAGATTGTTTTAAATTTGAGATATAGCGGTTTTATATATTCTACAATTTTTTGTAAAATTTATGAAAATCGGACTTCTATATCGTATTGCTCCCATAGGAACGAGCGAGAAATTAATATAATTAAAAATTATAACTTTCCAGTTTTCAACAGATTTTCATCAAATTTGAGATTAGTCTTAAACTTTGTGTCAACTTTGTGTCATACAAACGATCTTTAGATGTAGAGGAAAAAAGCAAAACTGTGAATGTAAAACTGTTAATATAATATGTATAGGTGAATGAAATGAAAGCAGGTATTACTTCATTGTTTTTAAACATAAATATATATAATTTATATTGTATGAATTCCCAGTAATTGAAGCTCTATATGCAAGTAATGTAAACTTCGGCGTGCCAAAGTTAGCTTCCTTTCTTGTTTTTAACCTCAATATAATAATTTATATTGTCTGGATTTCAAATCATCGAATTTCTATTTGTAAGGGTATATAAACTTCGGCGTGCCGAAGTTAGCTTCCTTTCTTGTTTTTTTTTTTTTTATTTATTAAAAATATTTTCTCTACAAGTCGAATGATTAATACCAGGGACAGTTCTTCTTATTATATTTTGTTAATTATTTCAAGCTTGTATAAAATTACTAAAGATTTTTCCTAGAACGTCCTTTTATTTAAGATATTACGACCAATATTACCTGTTTTATTATCACATGATACTGTAGTCGTATACAAACTTTAGCTTAAAGAAGTTTTAGTTCAATATTTTTGTATTAGATTAATAGAAATATGTTCCTACACTTCAACAATAACAGGAAATGCGGCATCCCGTAGCTCTTCTCTCCAGCTGGGAGGAAGGAGTAATTTAACTTGTGCTCGTCCTCCATGCGGCAATGAAATCTCAAAAGATCGCTGTGTTGGTAATGCTAGCTTTTGAAGTTTTTCTTTATAAAATGGCCGTGTATCATATAAAATTTTCACTAAGCTATGTGTTTTATGCAAATGCACTCCCGATACTGGTAGTCCTGGACCTTGACACTCCAAAATGTAGAACTGAATTCCATAAGTTGTTGCACATATAACGATGGTGTTATAAAGGCGTCAAAATGCGAACAGTTAATATAGTAGTAGCGACTACTCCAAAGGTCTTCGCCTAAGTCACATGTTATGCATTGTGGTTCAGTTCTGTTAATATAAAATATAAATAAAAATATAAAAAAAGACCTGCTCGAATTAAGATTTCCTTACCTTCTGACATCATCGTGTACTGGATCTTTAACAGAATATAAATTTTTTTGCCTGGTTTTTTCTCTTGTGTAGCCAAATAGTAAACTTTATGATGATGGTATCCCAACACAATATTTTAATCACCTGCAACAATTCGAAAAGATAGTGATATTATTATAAAAATTAACATGGGGCACATCGGAATTACAAGACTTTAAATAACTGGTCGCATTAGACATCTTCAACCAAAAACTCTGACCCATCACTGAAAATTGCATAATAGTTGATTGAAATTCACAGTACGTATTGTAAGTGTGGATCGAAAATGGGGTTGAAACGTGCTAATGTTGTTGCATAGGCCATTCGAGCTTCAATTTGTAATTTTTTAAACTCTGATAGACCGTCGAGAGAATCTAAGTTCTCCCGCTCTTGGCTTTGTCGGTATTTCCAATCGCAGCCAAATTTCCCGTCATGTGAAAATTTTTATCGCGATCAGATTCGGGCCTTGTGGTAAAACGTGGAAAACAGTTATGAAAGCTGTTCCGAAGTCATTCCATGACCGCTGATAGTACGGCCACTTCGAAGGTGCTTGAGTCAAAGTACTATGATTGCTACTCCGTGTATTTATGATGTGTTGCCCAACTTCAAGAAGGAATATAGTGAGGAGCGCTCCCCAGTCCGATCTGGCTTTCCACAATTTTCAATACCTCCTTCGATTGGTTATCGTCTGCCACCGGTGGACACCGAAGTTTCGGTGGTGATTATCCTCGGTGCCCCACATTCAGAGACCTTTTTACTGCAATATATATTCACAACTTACGTCTCACCCCGAAGAACAAATTTATATTTATTTATATTTACGGCAATTACTTTCACCTTTCATTTACCGAGTCAAAGGTACAGTTTTACGTTCACAGATGAAAATTGAGTCAATTTCTGAACGCTCCCTGGCACCTATTTAAAATAGAAGTCCGATTTTATAAAGTTGAAACCAAAATGTAGAATAATACAAAACGGCTATATCTTAGCAGAAAACTAAACAAATAATTTTCTTTCAATATATATAATCGTTCCTAAGGCTCCTCTATGTTAAAATCGGCCGATCCGCCCGTTCCTACTATATACTAGAATATTAGAAATTATATACCCTGCAGGAGTATAAAACCATACCATTTCCGTTTATTATTGCATATATTTGTAAAGAACGGATCGATCGCCGGATTCTTAGAAATAATTTACTTTTTAATTTTTAAAAGATTTTATCAATTTAAGATTTAGCCATTTATATTATGTTATTTGTATACCCTTGCAGGGTATTATAATTTCAGTCAGAAGTTTGCAACGCACTGAAGGAGGCACCTCCGACTATATAAAGTATACATATTCTTGATCAGGATCAACAGCCGAGTCGATCTAGCCATGTCCGTCTGTCCGTCAGTCCGTCTGCCCTTCTTTCCGTTTCTACGCAAACTAGCCTAAACGCAACTATAAACTTTGTAGTTTGTCTTCTATATACTCTCACTCGTATATATGTCGGAACGGGCCGGATCAGAAGACTATATATATAGCTGCCATAGGAATGATCGGTAAATTAAAAAAAAAAAATTGGAACATTTTCAGTTCTCAGCAGATTTCATCAAACTTGAGATATAGCCATTTTATTAAGTCTTAAGTTTTGTGTCAAAATCGATTATATCACATAGGCGCCATACAAACGAGCGTTAGATGTAGAGGAAAAAGCAATCTATGAATGTAAAACTGTAATATAATATGTATAGGTGAATGAAATGAAAGCAGGTTTTCCTTCATTGTTTTAAATATAAATATATATAATTTATTGTATGGATTCCAAGTCATCAAAGTTGTATATCCAAGGTATATAAACTTCGGCGTGCCGAAGTAGCTTCCTCTCTGTTTTTTTTTTAATTTTATAAAAATTTGACAACTATATTATATCATATAGATGCCATAGGAATGATCGAGAAATTAATTATTATAACTTTTTCACTTTTTAACAGTTTTGTTATTTGTGTTATTCTAGAATTTAGCTTTAATTTTTTGATATTCGGACGACTATATATTTTTACGCGCCCTTAACGTCTCCGTAAATAAGTTGGCAATCATCTTTCCAAGTGAACGGACGGTTTTTTTTTCTTGCGCTCTCGTTTTGTGTTAGTTTGAAAATAACCACCGGGCTAACTTAAATTTTCTATTTTGTGTTAATATGTTAAATTCCCGTTCAGTTCGCGTGTGCATGTAGCTATTCTGATTTATGTTATAATTATTTTATTTCTCAATTTAGTTTGCTGCTAGTGCTAGCTTAGCATATTTGCGTTATTTATCTCCCACGGTCTCCCACTCTCGCTTTCGCTGTGCCGCTGCACTTCTTATCTTATCTGATCTCCCACGCTCTCCGCTCTCTCGCTCTCGCTATGACTCTTCACTGCTTATCTTATAGCTCTGTTGTTTTTTCCTCTTTTTTTAAGTACAAGTACAGTGGTAACAGTGGTCCTTATAATGTCCATAAATATTGTGTGTTTCGCCACCTGCAAAAATGCTATTTTTGCCGGTGACCTTACAATCGGCTGCTGACTTTGCGACAACGTCATGCAAGTATATTGGTGTTGCAGCTCGGACGGTGGACGATGTAAAAACATAACATCGGCCTGTTTACTGCTGTGAGGCCTGTCGCGACGTAGAAAGGGAAATGATGTCTTTCATGCGGCAAACCAAAAACGGTTTAAGGGCATTTTAAAGAGTTTTCGTAAAATCTTAATATGTTCTTGGTGCTGGATACTCAATAGCCTTACGCTATTAAAGAGTCTCCTAGGCGCAAAAAAAACTGCTATTGGAGGGCAGCCTGCAGACGGACCCCAACTACATGCAACGGACTCTGAGCAGCAGCCTCCCTCGGCACAGCCCTCGACCCCAGCATTATTCCAAGGGTGCTGAGATCGAGCGCTAGAAAAAAATCGGTACCCGAAAGTGCAGTGGGAGTGACCGTACTGCCGGTGATTTCTGTTTGTCCCCTGGGGGTCTCAATATGACCCCTCAAAGTCAAGTGTATAATGATATATCTGCCCAGTGTGTTAGGCCCGGAATACCGGCCGACAATGTCACGGCACATAACCAATCTGCCTTGCCAAAAGCCTTATAACGGTTCCACCGACGAGACATATTTTTGTTTCGCGGCTCTCCCTGATCAAACATCGGAAGACGTTCTCACCTTTATACAAGGCAACACCAGAGCCGATAAAATAAAGATAAAGGTCGAAAGTTAAATTTTTTTACGCTAGGAATATTTAATCCTTCATAATAAATGTCGCTAACAAGCTCTTTAACACTATTTGCTCTCCCAACTTCTGGCCAGAGTACATCGATATTAAGGAGTTCGAAGCGACAAAAAAAAATAGGCATGTAAGAATAACTCTTCTTCATATCACTGCGCCTTCTACGTCTCCAATTCCGACCCTAAAAACTAACCTACTCCTCAGGTATTTACTATCAGAATGTAAGAGGCTTACGTAGTAAGCTTCCTAACTTGTATTCTGATAGCCTTTCGTTTGGCATCTGAGGTTATTGTGCTCACAGAAACCTGGTTAAAGTCGGAGATTCTGAGCTCCGAAGTTTATCCAGCTGTGTTCACAGTATAACGGCTAGATCGCCCTATCAGACGCGGCGGTGGAGTTCTTATAGCGGTGAATTCCTTAGCTTCGAGAATGCAACGATGTTGAATTCCTCTGTGTGAAGCTATCTATCAAAGGTAGCTCCATTTGTATTACCTGTTCCTACATACCTTCATTTTCGGAACTTCCTATTTATTGGAAACACCTTTCCGCTATTCAGATGGTTTCCAGTAGACTTTTGGATATAGATCAGTTGGTAGTCCTACATGATTGAATATGCCTGGTGCTATTTGGTGCTTAAATAATTCCACCAATACTCTCCATACTTCCTACACAACATGACTTTATCGGAGGCTTGTTCGCCGTCTCAAGTCAACCATGTGCAAAATTCCATACAGCGCTTGCTCGATCTTTGCTACGACTCTGATCCTGAGAGAGTCACTATAGCAAGGGGGCGCCTCTGACACAGTCCGAAGATCCTTATCATTCAACTTTCGATGTGACTCTTTGTATTGGGTCTGACGTGTAGAATATGTTTTCTATGTTTTCGCAAGCGGACAGATGTAATCTATACTGATTTCAGTAAAGCATTTGACTCTGTTAACCATTCTCTCCTCGTTAGAAACCCGATTCAATGGGTTTTCCAAGTGATCTTCTTAATTGGATCTCAAGTTATCTGAATGCCAGGACGCAAAAGGTCCTCTTTAAGAATAATTTATCCAATGTTCTAAGGGTTACATCTGGCGTCCGCAAGGAAGCCATTTCGGACCCTTATTGTTTAGATTTTTAAATGACCTGCCCAAAGTTTTGACTAACTCCAAAGTGCTTATGTACGCGAATGACGTCAAGCATTGCGTGCAATACAATGACGTCGCCTGCCAGTCGGATTTACAAATGCAAGCTAATAACATTCTCTCGTGTCGTTCCTAAGCTTGCTACTTACACGCTGAACTGCTTCTCTTTGAAAAGAATTAATTCTGTTGATGATTTGGGCGTCCGCTTGGACCCAAAACTTGACTTTATTGATTATATTTAGTCTATGGTGAATAGAGCCAGGAGTGTGCTTGGATTTATTAAACAGTGGTCGAAGGAATTCAATGACCCCTATGTTACTAAACCTTACATACTTCCTTAGTTCGTCCTATCTTTGAATATGGATGCTGCGTTTGAAGCCCTCAGTATGGCGTCCAAAGCAAACGCATTGAGTCGGTTCAAAAGAATTTTTTACTTTTCGCTCTACGCGGTTTAAATTGGGAGGCAAGCCAAAGATTCCTTCCTACTCTAGTAGACTCCTATTAATAAACTTGCCGTCCTTAGCCAATCGTAGAACTATGCTAGAAATAACCTTTATTTGAACCTTATCCATTGTGTTGTGGAAAGTGCTGACTTGTTCAGTTAGCTTAATTTCAACGTACCATGTAGAACTACTAGATTCTATATCCCATTAGTGTTGCGCCATTGTAGAAAATCCTTTGAACTGCATGATCAAATCATTATAATATTTGTACACACTAATCT